TTTAGAGTTGAGGGTTTAGGCTTTAGAGTTTAGTGTTTAGAGTTTAGGGTTCAGGGTTTAGAGTTTATAAGGTTTAGAGTTGAGTTGAGAGGTTTAGGGTTAGAGTTTAGGGTTCAGGGTTTAGATATGAAACCAAGAACGGAGAATCAAATGGAAAAGAAAATAGATACTGAAATGGAAGCTGCGGCCATCTTTGGTTTATACGGATTTTATGAGCCACCGGGACGAGAGGATCATTAAGGGTTGACGTACGCTTCCATTGGTAGGTTGGTATGGTCGAATTTTTTCCCTCATAGGAACCCATGTCGACAAATAAGATGGAACATATGGACTGTAGCTCATCTTGTTGACGACGTAGGGTCAGGGAGAAAGGTCTACATTAACCTACCAAAACCTGCCGCGCTGTGGCATGCTCACATTCCCTTATGCTAGGACTTGCAATGGGATTGTGGTAGACCCTAAGCCCTGAACGCTAAACCCCTGTCTTGGAGTCGGGCCTTACGGCCTTGGACTTTGAAGCTTCAAGTTTAGGATTAGTCAGTGCCTTTCTGGTCCAGTGTGAGGCTTAAGTGTGGAATGTGGGCTTTAGATGGAGGATTGCCTGCATAAAGGCTCTGTAAAGTTGCTTTGGGGCTTGTTAGATACTTGTTGATACGGATCTGTAATGTGTTATCCTAAGCTGAAGCCCCAAACCCTACCCCTTCTGGGTAGAGTGCAACAACTGGTCGAGGGGTGTTGCAGGTTCAGGAGATCTGTGTTCGGGTCGGAGCTTGTGGTGGGTTCAGGGATTGGGGTTAGGGTTTAGGGGTTTAGGGGTTTAGGGGTTTACGGGTTTAGGGTTTAGGGTTTAGGGGTTTGGGGTTTAGGGTTTAGGGGTACAAGTGTGGGGTTTAGTCTGCAAGCGCTCAATTCTTATGGCGTAAGGCATTAGATACCGCCGTCATCTACCCTCCGCAGGGTTTTCTCTGCGTGAAACCCCCTAAACCCTAAACCCATCATACCTGCATGCTTGGACCCTTGTTGAACAGAAACCTTCAGCTTTGGAACCCTGCTGGACGTTGCAGGGTTCAGAAGATTTAGGATATAGGAGTTAAGGGTTTAGGGTTTAGAGCTCAGGGTTTAGGATATAGGATTTTAGGGTTTTCGGGTTAAGTGCTAAGGTTTACCTCTCAGGGTCAGGAGTACTACGGTAAGTAGGTTAATAACCCCTACAACCCCTATAGCAGCTCCAGTTATCCCGGTCCTAAACTGCTTCCTAAGTTCGCCTGACCCTCCAAGTAGGATTTAGGGTTCGGATAGCAAGGTTTAGCGTTCAGGGCATCTGCAGACCGGAACCCTACTCACTTATGCTTCAACTCTGAACCCTAAACTCTAAACCCTAATCCCTAAACCCTAATCCCTAAACCCTAAACCGTCAGGCCAAGAAGAAGGAGGAGGATGACAAGAAAGCAGAGGACTGTCCTGTTACTGGGTGGCTAGCTCCTAAACCCGCTTTAGGGTTTAGGGTTTAAGCCACTTGAAGCATGTTACCTTTGTAATGAAACCATAAAGTTGGTTATACCAAGAATGCGGTAGTGCTATAGGAAGTATAATCACATGAAAGGCTCGTGTAAGTTCATTGACAGCAACCCAATGAGGAGCTACGCCTTGTTTGCAAACATGGAACCTCGCAACGGCACACTGGCGTAGCACCTGCCCAGATACGCACTGAAATGTATGTATTTACGCCCATATATACATAAAGAATATAGATGTAGTGATAAGGCTTTGTATCTGAACCCTAAACCCTTGACCGCGATCTTTGTAGGCTCGGTTTTCCATCCAGGTTTGGACATTCTATTTTGTTTCGGGAGTGCATTCAACCGACGCCAAAGGCGAAAACCTTCAGCCCGAAACCCATCAATTCTGAATACCTACCACTTGTATACTTGTGATACAAGAGCGATAAAGGTAGTGATTAAGGCCCCTATGTTATCCTCAGCTTCGAACCTCGAAGCCAGAAGTGTACCGTATTGGAACAAGTCTGGGTCACTGGTGCAGGTAGGTAGTTAATGCTCATCATGCTGGAGCGCAAGAGTGAATATACATAGTACCCCAATTAAAAACCTGTATGATACTAAAGTCCAGATATGGCCATGAGATTCTGTTTGTAGATAGTATCCCAATAAGGAACCACAGGAATCATGGGAGTTTTCCCACCCAGGCAAGCCATAGATCATCCTCAAGGGTAACATGAGGAGAGTCCTCAGTCCTTCTACTGTACATCCCACCCTAGGCCCCCAAACCCAAACCTGAACTGCCAAACTCTTCCCTGAAGAGTAAGTAGCCTTTTGTCGTGAGCCCAACTCGATATTGTGTTAGTGTGCTAAAGTCGGGAGCGGGGAAGTGAATTTAGATATTCTGGCAGGGGTATGTATGGA